TTGGGGCATAGATGTTCAGTATTGAAATTTCCCCTTGATGGATTTTTCCTGTGACTAATATGAAATGACCTTCTTTGTCTCTTTTGACTAATTTAACTTGAAGTCTATTTTGTTAGATATTAGGATAGCTACACCTGTTCGTTTCTTAGGTCCATTTGATTGGTATATTTTTTTCCCAACTTTTTACTCTGAGTTGATGTCTGTCTTTAAGGTTGAGATGCGTTTCTTGTATGCAGAAGAGGGATGGATTCTGTTTTTGTATACAATCTGTTAGCCTGTGCCTTTTTATGGGTGAGTTGAGTCCATTTACATTAAGGGATGTTGATGACCAGTGATTGCTGTCTCCTGTTAATTTAGTTTTCATCGTTGGTGATGTTAATTTGTGCATTTTTTCTTCTTCGGGATTTGCTGTTATGAGATCATCAATTGTCTTTGTTTTCGTTGCTGTAGCCATCTTCCTTGGTTTGGACTTTTTCTTCTAGTATTTTGTGTAGGGCTGGGTTCGTGGCTAGGTATTGGTGAAATCTAGATTTGTCATGGAATATCTTGTTTTGTCCTTCTATGGTGATCGACAGTTTTGCTGGGTATAGTAATCTGGGCTGGCATTCGTGGTCTCTTAATGTCTGCACAATGCTTGACCATGACTTTCTGGCTTTCATTGTCTCCACTGAGAAGGCAGGTGTAATTCTGATAGGTCTGCTTTATATGTTACTTGGCCTTTTTCCTTTGCAGCTCTTAATATTCTTTCTTTACTCTGTATGTTTAGTGTTTTGATTATTATGTGGCGAGAGGACTTTTTTTTGGATCCAGTCTATTTGATGTTCTGTAAGCTTCTTGTATCTTCATAGGCGTATCTTTCTTTAAGTAGGGGAAGTTCTCTTCTATGATTTTGTTAAATAAATTTTCTGTGCCTTTGAGTTGAACTTCTCCTTATTCTATACCTATTATTCTAAGATTTGGCCTTTTCTTTTTCTTTTTTTTTTTTTTTGATTTTTCAAGACAGGGTTTCTCTGTGGCTTTGGAGCCTGTCCTGGAACTAGCTCTGTAGACCAGGCTGGTCTCGAACTCACAGAGATCGGCCTGCCTCTGCCTCCCGAGTGCTAGGATTAAAGGCGTGCGCCACCACCACCCGGCCAAGATTTGGCCTTTTCAAGGTGTCCCATATTTCATGGATATTTTGGGTTAACCTTTTGTTAGATTTAATGTTTTCTTGAACTGATGAGTCTATTTCCTCTATTGTATCTTCAGCGCTTGAGATTCTCTCTTCCATTTCTTGTATTCTGTTGTTCATGCTTGCGTTTGTGATTTCAGATCTTTTTTCTCATGATTTCTGTTTCTATAATTCCTTTTTTTTTTTAAATATTTATTTATTATGTATACAATATTCTGTTTGCGTGTATGTCTCCAGGCCAGAAGAGGGCACCAGACCTCATTACAGATGGTTGTGAGCCATCATGTGGTTGCTGGGAATTGAACTCAGGACCTTTGGAAGAGCAAGCAATGCTCTTAACCACTGAGCCATTTCTCCAGCCCCTGTTTCTATAATTCCTGTGGCTTGTGTTTTCTTTATTGTTTCTATCTCAGTTTTCAAGTCCTGAATAGTTTCTTTTATATGTTTCACTTTTTTCTTGGTTTTCTTTAAGTGATTTGTTGATATCTTCCAAATTTTTTGTTTGTTTTTTCCTCATTTCTTTCAGGTAATTTCTCATTTCATCTTTAAGAATTTCAAACATTCTCTTGAGTTTATTTTTTAGATCATTTTCTTCTGGTTCATCCATATTTGGTTGTTCAGGTCTTGTTGTTGTAGGGCCTTTAGGTTTTATTGGTATTGTGTTGCTACACAAAGTGGTGTAGTGTGTGATGTTACCTTTTCTACTCATCTTTTCCTTTAATAGGTGTGGTTGGGGCTGTCTGAGATTCTGTTGAATGATCTTCTAGATGCCAGTGAATCCAAAGCTCCGATGGTTGTTCCTCATGGTACAGTCAGTGTCACAGTTCTAGTTACCCCATTGGCTATTCCTGTTCCTGGGGGAGGTAGCTCAGTGCTTTGCTCTGATCCCTTGGAGTTTGCTGTCTCAGGCCTACTTTGGCCTAGGCTGCTGGCTTTGATCTGTTTCTGTAAATCTTGATCTGAATCTCCTACTGCAGAAGTCCCTGGCTTGGAGTTGGACCTGTTGTGGTGGAGATTGCAGACTCTGAGTCAGGTTGCTGGCTCAATCCTGATCCACCAGTGTCCCAGGACTGGGTTTGCTCCTGATTTCTGTTCCTGGTGGAGCTTCTTCTCTCTGTGTCCTAGGTAGCTGGTTCAGTCCCACTCTGGTTCTGGTGAGGTTGCAGACTCTGAGTCAGGTCTTGGCTCAATCCTGGTCTCCCAGGACTGGATTTGCTCCTGGCTTCTGCTCCTGGTGGAGCTTGTTTCCTCAGGCCCTCTCTGTCCTATGAGTCTCACTCAGTTCCATTCCCGTGGAATTTGTTGCCCAAGGTGGAGTTCCTTGCCTCAGGGCAACTTTGGCCTAGGTTACTGGCTTTGACCTGTATCTGTAAATCCTGGTCTGGATTCCCTCCTGCAGAAGTCCCTGGGTTGGAGTTGGACCAGGAAAGGTTTCTGGTTCCGGTGTGTGCCTCTATGGTTCCAGGCTCCGGTGCGCCCCAACCCACCTAGGACCTGCTTACTTCCTCAGAGGTCTCAGACTCGTGCTTGGACCCGCAGGGGTTCCAGGTTCCTGCCTATTCCCTTTAATGTCCCAGACCAATGCGGGAACCCACAGAGGTCCTGGCTCAGGCCTACTCTCTTTGAGATCCCAGACTTGTGCCTGGCCCAGCTGAGATCTCTGGTTCCTGCCTATTCCCTCGGAGGACCCAGGTTCACTCACGCCCAGGCTGACAGAGGTCCTGGCTCCAGCCTAGTTCCTGGGAAATCCTAGACTCTCGTCCAGACCCCCCGGGATGTTGGTTTAGGTCTAAGCCCTTGAAGGTCCCTGATTCACGGCTGGACCCTCAGCAGTCTCTGGCTCTGGCTTACTCACTCAGCAGTTACTTCCTTGTATCTGTTCCAGTGGAGATCATTGACTCTGGATCTGGTCGCTGGCTCAATCCTGATCTGCCGCGTGTCCCAGGACCAGGTTCGCTCCTGGTTTCTGCTCCTGATGGAGCTTATTCTCTTTCCATCTTTTTAACCTCTCTATTTTTTTGTTTGCTTGTTTGTTTTTTGAGACAGGGTGTCATGAAGCCCAGGCTAGCTCAAATTTATTATGTAGCTGAAGATGACCCAGAATTCCTGATCCTCCTACCTTCACATCCCAAGTACTGGGTGACAGGCATGCTTTCGAGGGCCTTCTACGTGTTTCTTTATAGAATAAAACCTTTTTCCCCATGTGTGTTGGGGCAAATACCATTCTTTGAGACATGGTCGCACTGTGCAGGTAGAGCAGGTTGGCCTGCAGCTCACAGACACTCTGCTTTACTGGGATTAAAGGTGTGCACCACGATGCCTGGCCTGCTCTCTCTCTCTCTCTCTCTCTCTCTCTCTCTCTCTCTCTCTCTCACACACACACACACACACACACACACACACACAATGCTATTTAACGTTAAGGCTTGACAATGACACCCTTCACCTCACATACCATCCCTTGGTCCCTTTGTGCTGTTGGTCATGAACGTCACCTCCACATGTGACCCTGGGCCACGATTTCGATGCTGCCCTGTGGGAAGAGTCGGTAGCCGGAGGCTCCACCCTCTTCTGGGAGGGAGGCAAAGGGTTGCAGCCCTGGATTCGCAGGGTGGCCCCTCAGCGACAGTAATCACCTACACCCTGAGGTGGGGGGGGGGGGAGATGTGTACTCACTTCCGCTGCCACAGTCACGTGACACCTAAAAACAAACCTCTTCCTGAGTGGGTGGCACCGATGGTGGCTAGTTTAGAATTTTCTTGGAAAGTTTACTTTTATTTCCAACTCCCAAAGAGGCAGCTCTGACTGACTCTGCAGAGACTAGGTAGCTAAAGGGAAAGAGACAAGAGAGGAGCCCTAATGAGTCTTAAATAGTTTTCCTTGGTACCAGGAACAGAACAGAGGGCCATTTCAATGAGGAGGAGGGAGCTGCACCTGACCACGTCCCCAGCCCCTCACTGGGGATTCTGGGCGGGGCTCCACCCTGACCACGCCCCCAGCCCCTCACTGGGGATTCTAGGCGGGCCACACCCTCAAGGTGTGTATTGTGGGTTGTTGGGTGTCACACGTGGATTTGGAAGAACAGCTTATGGCAGTCAGTTCTCTGTGTCCACCAAGAGGTCTCTGAGAATAAAGCCACCAGGCGGGGTCATCTGATTGTTGAAAAAGTTTTTCAGTCCTACATTGAGAAATCTGTCAAGGCCAAGCTGCCTCTGTCTCAGTGTGTCGGTGGGATAACAGGCTTGTATGAAGACCTCCGGGAGCATGGGTCCACGCAGTGACTGTAGATGAGGGCTTCCCTAGAGCGCTATGGTTGGCCCTTCACTGAGCACAGACTCTGGGGCCAGGCCCCCTGTCCTTAAGCTGCCCACTTCAGACATTCAGGAGCTGTCCTAGTGTGCTTTCTGTGCCTGTGCAAACATGGTGACCAGAACTTCCATGTCACAGTTCACCACGAGGGACATTGGGGCAGGAACCTGGAGGCGGGAGCTGAAGCAGAGGCCGTGGAGAGGTGCTGCTTCCTGGGTGCTCCCCTGGCTTCACAGCCTGCTCGCTCCTTTTCAAGTTCAGCAGTTTGCCTCCCCTCCCTCCTCTCCTCCCAGTCTTCCCCGCCCCCATCCACTCCTCATCTCTTTCCAGGCAGAAAAGAGCAGGCCTCCCAGGGATATCAGTAGTAAAGCAAGTTACGTGTTAAGGCTGGTGGAGGGAGCCCAGTATGAGGAGTAGGGTCCCCAAAGCCAGAAAAAGAGTCAGGAGATAGCCTGGGCTACGGAGAGCCTGTCTGGACGGGTGGGGTGCGAGCAATCTTTCACACTGTGGGTCCCCGCAGCTCCTCCCTCCACCCTAAACTTGGGCGGAGCACATCGGAAGAGAAAGACCCTGGTGGCCCCAGAGATCAACATCTCCCTGGACCAGAGCGAGGGCTCCCTGCTGTCCGACGACTTCCTGGACACGCCAGATGACTTGGACATCAACGTGGACGACATCGAGACACCGGATGAGACCGACTCACTGGAGTTCCTCGGAAATGGCAATGAGCTTGAGTGGGAAGGTAACGGTGGGGTCCCCGCCCTGTCCCCCTGCGGCTTCTCCAGCCACCTCCTTGCCAGCCCCCGCCCCCATTACAGCTCTGGGAGACGGCGTTGGCCCTAGGACCCACAATGTCTGGTCCCACAGACCTGTGATTTGTCACAGGATTCTCACAGCCCAGCGAGGTTCAGAGGGACGCTACCTATGAGCTTGCGAGGGTGGGGTGGGCAGAGGGAACTAGACGTCCACAGGAGGATCTAGAATAGGCATGCGCGAAGCCCACGTAAACCAGGAGTGATTTGCACATGTCAGGACTGTCCCTCCCTGGCCTCTTCCAGGCTCCGCAAGGGCCACACACATCCCCAGACATCAGTCAGCGAGTGACCCACGTACAGGGACAGAATCTTTGTGCTCAGCTCCCTGCAGAGCCCAGGAGGAGGAATGAGCTGGGTTCAAGCAGTTCTAACAGGTAGCTAGGGAGGGTCATGCGCTGGGAGGCCATTTTAATCTTATTTATCATTATTATTTATTTGCTTTTTCTTGGAGACACACATTATATAATCCCCAGGCTGGCCTCAGAAAAACTCACAAGATCCACCGGCCTCTGAGTGGCAGTATTAAAAGCATGCAGCATCACACTTGATTAAAAAAAAAATTTAAAAAAAAGGAAGGAAAAGGAAGGAAGAGAAACAGCAGGTTTGGAATGGGTCAGTGGGGTGGTCAGCGGTTAGCTCAGGTGCAATCACGGAGGGCTTCCGGCAGGAGATGGCGGTGTAGCCAGAGCGAAGCAGGCAGGTAGTTACCACTTTTCTCGTGGCTGCGACAAACCTTACACGCAAACAACTAGGGGAGAAAAAACTAGGGTTTATTCTGACCATCGTGGCGGGGAGGCCTCAGCTCCCGGGATGGGACAGCGCCACCTTCAGGGCGGTTATCCCAAGCTAGGTCACCTCAGGTGTTCCCAGAGCTCCAAGGATTCACAGATTAACCCTCGTGGGGGGAGGGCTGGATCCACGCTGGATTCACACTGGATTCACGCCCCCCACTGCAGACGACACCCCAGTGGCCACTGCCAAGAACATGCCCGGAGACAGCGCGGACCTGTTTGGGGACAGCGCTGCGGACGATGGCAGCGCAGCCAACGGTCGCTTGTGGCGGACTGTCATCATCGGGGAGCAGGAGCATCGCATCGACCTGCACATGATCCGGCCGTACATGAAGGTGGTCACCCACGGAGGTGTGTGCACCCCGCGACCTCGCCCCCACAAGGTCACCGTGGACAGCGGTTCTCCTAATTGGGGGGGGGGGGGGCCTGTCCAGCTGGAGTGCGCAGGAGCTGGCACACTGGGCATCATCCCCCCCACCTGGAAACGCTGCTCAGGGAGGAAACGTGCTCTAGCCTGGGCTACCGTGACACTCACAGGATGCCTCCTTCCCAGGGTACTACGGGGAAGGCCTCAACGCCATCATCGTCTTCGCAGCCTGTTTCCTCCCAGACAGCAGCTCCCCCGACTATCACTACATCATGGAGAATCTCTTCCTGTAAGTCAGCAGCTCCCACTGGGGAGGCAGAGGTGGCGGAGCTCTATGACTTCAAGGCTAGCCTGGTCTACAAAGCAAGACCGCATTTCCCCAAACCCACGCAACAAGGAGGATGGGGGCCCTTGGAGCTCAAAGAGAAGAGTTTGGGTTCTCTGCTGTCTTGGGGGGCGGCGCTGGCGATGGAGGCAGGGGCCCTGGGTGGCGTCTGAGGCCCAGGTCCCTTCCAGACTGTTCGGGAGCGCACCAGTGGGCACGCCCACGCCTGCTGGGGTGTGGCTGGCCCGGCCTGGCAGGGCTGCAGGAAGGCCCCACGCGGGCCCCACTCTCGGTGCCTCACATGGGAACCCCGTCCCCCCACCGCAGGTACGTCATCAGCAGCCTGGAACTGCTCGTCGCTGAAGACTACATGATCGTGTATCTAAACGGCGCCACGCCCCGGAGGAGGATGCCCGGCATCGGCTGGCTGAAGAAGTGTTACCACATGATTGACAGGAGGTGAGAGGAGAAGGAGGGCTCCGAGGGAGGAAGTCAGGGAGGGTCCTGCCAGATTCTGCTGACGACTGAGGAGGAGTCTAGGGACCCCTGCAGAGGGAGGCACCGTGCTGCGTGTCCTTCCGTGTCTGATCCAAGCCTCAGAGCATTGAGTCCTCAAGGGCCATCCTCTCTAGAAGTGTCAGAAAAAAGGGCCTTTTCTTGTGCACGGCTGAGTAATAGTCCAGCCTGTGATCAAACTGTATTGTTTCTGTCTGTCCGTCTGTGAGTAAACGCTGGGCTGTCTCTCTCTTTTGGGTTTTATGAATAGCTTCAGACAGATTTTTGAAACCTACAAGCACTTCCTAGAATTCATGACTGTGGGGTGTGTGTGTGTGTGTGTGTGTGTGTGCGCGCGCGCGCGCGCGCGCGCGCGCGCGAAGGGCCACACTGCTGCCTGGTGTTGATGAGTCCCAGGGCCTCCAAATTCACGCACTGTGAGGGTGCAGTCAGCTAGAGGACTTGGGATGGCAGGCTGCGGAGGGATGGTGGGTAAGCGGTCCATCTTGTCCCCGGGGGCTCCCTGCGCCCCAAGCCTGTGACAGTGTCGTCCTCGCCTCCCCACACAGACTGAGGAAGAATCTGAAGTCTCTGATCATTGTGCACCCGTCATGGTTCATCCGCACCGTGCTGGCTATCTCCCGGCCCTTCATCAGGTGGGACTCCGCCTGACGCTGTGCCCTGTGTGTGTTCTGCGGGTCGGTCGGTGCGATTCCACTAACCACATGGTTTGGGGCCCCAAGACTCACTGATCCAGCCAAATGCAGCGATCCTCCTGTCTCAGCCTCCCCAGCACCACTCCTGGTGTTTTATGCACATGCTGTGGATTTGAACTCATGTCCTGATACTTGCACAATAGAGCCTTCTGCTCTGGCCCTGTGTCTCCCTGTGTAGCATGGGTCAGTGCTGAAATGGCAATCCTCAGGCCTCAGCCCCATGAGTGCCGGAATGACAGGCGTCACCAGGCTCGGAGGAGAATTCTACTTTTTATTTTTAAGAATACGCTTGGAGGGCTGGCGAGACGACTCTATTAGTAGAGGAGCTTGCTGCCAGACCCTGACAGCCTGAGTTCAATCCCCGCGACCAACTGTGGGATGGAGGGAGCCGACGCCCTCGGGGTGTCCACTTGTTTCACTCGCGCATGCGCAGTAACGAAACGTGACAAAATGATTCTTAAAAGGATACATCTGAGGTGTTCGTTGTTCATCACAGTCGTGCTGAGGCAGGAGGGTTCCAGGCCAGCATGGACGACTTGGCGGGTTGGGCAGGGCCCGGCCCAGCTCTGCCTGGTGACCCCTTGTCTGCCCTCCTGTGTCCGCCAGTGTCAAGTTCATCAGTAAGATCCAGTACGTGCACAGCCTGGAGGAGCTGGAGCGACTCATCCCCATGGAGCACGTGCAGCTGCCCGAGTGTGTCCTGCAGTGAGTGTCCCTCGGGGTCCCTACGCAGGCAGTGTGCCACCAACGCTGCTTCCGGCCGCGAAACACCCCCCAGCGGCTTCCTTTCCATTGCTGCTTACACTGGGGGGCTGGAGAGACAGCTCAGCGGTTAGCGCACCGGCTGCCCCTGCAGAGGGCCCAGTGGGCTCCCAGCATCCACAAGGGGCTCACAACCCCTGTGTGACTCCAGTTCTGGGTACTGCACGCGCGCGGGAACCCGATGCCCCCTTTCCGGCCCCCGCGGGTACTGCACACACTCACAGGCGCTCTCTCATTGAACCGTATCACAGCTCAGCGTGAAGCTCAGTCCGCAATCCCTGGCACCCGCCCTCCCCTTCAGCTCCGTGGCCCTGGCAGCTGTGTCCGAGTCTGACTCCCTGCTTGTGTTTTTCTTTCCCTCAGGTACGAAGAACAGAGACTCAGAGCCAAGAGAGAGAGGTCAGTGCGGCACAGCTCCTGAGGTATCTGAGGGGTGGTTTGGTGGCTTTGGCTTGGTGAGAGCAACCGATGTCCCCACCGGCTTGGCTCGCCCTTCAGTGGAAAAACTGATGCGGGCAAGTGCGAGGACCTGAATTCAAATCCCCAGTACCCATGTAACCTGCCGGGCCTGTGGTTCCCATTTGTAATCACTGGGGAGATGGAGATGGGACCCTGGGGCTCGCAGGCCAGCAGCCTACCTGAATCAGTGAACCCTGGGCTCAGTGAGAAACCCCATTTAAAAACATGACGTGGATTGGGCCAGCAAGATGGCTTGGCGAGTAAAAGGGCTTACTCCCAGACCTGACAACTGGGATTCAGTACCCAGGACGACTGACATGACCTCCTCACATACGCAGAGGTCCACACGACCTCATACACACCCAGAGACCTGCCTTTCAGATAAGGCCTCTGGAGACAGCCATGGATTCACACCCCACCTTGATCATCCATCAGATGTTATTTATCTGTCTGTGTTGGGTGTGTGTGTGCGCGCGCGCGTGCGTGCGTGCGTGCAAACCACAGCACACATGTGGAGGTCACTTGAGGGGAGCCAGGGTCCCATTCCATCAAATGGGATCAAACTCGGGTTGCCAGACTCGGCGGCACGCACCTTTACCTACCGAGACAGCTCACCAGCCCCTGCCCCCTAATTTAGTTTGAGGACCTTACTCAGCACAGAGAACCAAAGGGGTGACCTTTGGTGACCATGCCCAGGGGCTCGGCCACACGACGGCCCAAGCTCAGGATGAGGCTCCTGTAAGTTTCTCTCTGTTGTCTCTTTCTACCATCTTGTCCGTCTTTAAAAGTCAGCGAGTAAAACTCTGCCCCTCACCTATCCCAGCCTGCAGCTGGGCACAGCAGAGCCCGGTCACAGGGCTGTGCCCTCCCCGCAGCCTCTCAGAACCTTCTATATTCCAGAGACGCTCCACCCCCATCTCACATTAACTCCCTGTCCATATGTTCTCGGTGCCGCTCCCACCCCTGAAACCCCGGTCTGTGTGGCTCTTGGGACCTCCTGGGAGTGGGTCCTGCCATGCCAGTCCTCCCAAATGTCCCGTTAAAACTGCTGTGCTCTGAGTTCCCGCGCCATCCATGTTGGTGTAGTATCAGAGCTATAATCCTTTTCGTGACCGGGTAACAGTCCAGGGATCTCATGGGAAAGACCCCACAGCAGTGGGTGGAGCCCAGTGGTTCCCCGCCTAGTCCCCCCCAGACTCTGGTGGCCGCTTCCTTAGTGCAGAGACCCACTGTTTTTCTTCCTTGGGACAAGGTATTTGGCGGCCCAGGCTGGCCTCGGATCCAATGCCTCAGTGTCCCCAGTGCTGGGATGGGAGGCACGAGCCAGCAAGCTGGGCTCTGTGTATCTCTTTCTCCTCCCACCACCCAGACCTTCCAAGCATGAACCTGGGACCATAGCTCAGACGGTAGAGCACTGGCCTCACGGGGGCCATCCCCAGTGCCACATATCCAGCCTGCCTGCAATCAGCATGAGGAGACAGGAGGATCCGGAGTCATCCTCAGCTACGTAGGGAGTTACAGGCTAGCCTGGGCTATATGACACCCTATTTTCAAGAGGGGGGGACAGGAGCCCTTGTGTTACGACTCACACTTGTCCTATCCTGGGCCACCAGCTCCCTCCAACACACCAGAAACAAAATGCTAACATCAGTCCATACTTGAGGGGCTAGTGGGATCCCAGAGTCCCTGCCTCAGCCCCAGCCGCCTCCCATCCTTGTCACCTGGTTCTGTCTATCACAGCGCACGACCACCAATACAACCAGAGTTCCTCGTTCCCAGATCCGAAGAAAAACCAGAGACGGTGGAAGAAGAGGACAGGTAAAAGCTCAAAGGGATGGCGGGCCACGGCAGGGAAGAAGATGGGCGTAGTTAGCACCTTCCCAAGCTAGGTTACACCCGGGCAGCTGCTCCAGCTCCTCTAGTCCCCTCATTTTTGTCTGTTTGGCCTGTCCCTTTAGCGGCAGGTGCAGGCTGACACCTGTTTTCTGTTAGAAAAACGCAGCGGGGTGGCCGCCTTCCTGTGGAGATTTCCAGCCATGAGCAATAAATGGGAATCGCCTAGGGTCTCGAACAGGCAACTAACACCCTCTCCTCCCCATCACAGGTCAGCAGAAGTGACAGAAGACCAGGAAGTGAGGTGGGTGTAGCACGGGGTGTCAGCGGGTTTCCTTGGAATGTTTCGAGAGCAGTTCAGTCTGGGTGAACATTTGTATGCTTGGCCCAGCAGGTGGCATGAGAGACAGGTGTGCATCTGTTTCCTGATTGTGGGACATGGTGGTCATGGCCAGAGAGCACCCACACACTGCCAGGCTCAGATGAAACTCAGAGAAAGGAGGGATGGATGGGTGGGTGGATGGGTGGGTGGATGGGTGGCTGGGTGGGTGGATGTGTAGGAGTCCACAGATCTTTATTGCTGTTGCCCTGGGAGGAGAGTCATCTTCTGATCTGCATTAGGAATATTGGTGGCAGCCATTGCTTTTTGCTCCGAGCTCTCCTAGCCAGATAGCTGACTCTGAGTTTTCCTGTGGAAGCTCACCTCCGCCTCAGACACTGACCCCACCTTGCTTGTCCTGTACTCTCCAGCATGTCCTGATTTAACTGGAACCTGGAGATGGACAGAGAAGATTCCAGACACCACATAACCTCCGTCAGAGGCCTGAGGGCCCCAGACTTCATCCTGCCTCATCCTGTGTCCATCGTTAGAGGATATCCGGCTCCTTCGTCCCCCTCTTCGCCCCCTGGTGTCTTCCGCTGCTTGAGTCCACCTCACGGTTTTCATTGAGATGTGTGCCACCTTCTGGAACGAACTGGGTCCTTGGCCTCTACCCTTCCATACTCTGAGCTTGTGATTGGCAGAGCTGGACATGAACGGCGTCGCCCTGTTCCTCTGAGACTCCGGCTCTTCCTCCAGACCTCCACAGCCCCACCTGAGATGGCACAAGCGTGCGTTTTCACAGACCCACGAGAGACCATTGCTCAGCTCTCACCTGTCCCTAGCTGGAGCCTTGGATTCCTGGTGGCTCCAGCTGGGGCTGCGTCTGCTTCTCTGTGGAATGAGACCCACTGTCCCCTCTCCCTGTCACCCCAAGCAGGGCTGTGACTGCTTACCTGACATCCTCACTGACACCCCCATTCTGCCATTTGACGTCTTCAAGGCCCTTCAAGCCCATTGCACACATGCTGGTCCACCTGGTGGTCCCCAAACCCTCTTCCCCACAATCTGAAACATTTTCTAGCCCTTTAAAGTAGCTGTGAATCCTGGAGACTTTAACTCACACCTCCTTCTCAGAGAAGTTGTGTCCACCTTTCTGTCCCCTGCTCGGGCCAGTCTTAGGTCTGTGTCACCAAGCAGGAGAAGAGTACATAAAAAAAAAAATGAAGATACAGGGTTGTGGGTGCTAGTGGATCTGGGGGATCCCCTAGGGAAATATGTCCCAGTGGGCGGGGCACTGAGGCCACCTGACCTTAACGCACTTTCCGAAGAGCAGATTTACCTCGATGATGGTGTCCGGACGCCATGGGAGTGTAAGAAGCAAGCCTCCTGTCTCCAGGGGCACTAAGACCGGGTGACATTTATGAGGAGAGGTCCCCTGAAGACTTGGTGGCACACATCTTTAACCCCAGGATCTCAGTGAGTTCCTGGACAGCCTGGTCTACAGAGGGGTACCCGTCCACCAACCACTGGTCCTTGCCTTCTCCAAAGCTGGGTTCCATCCATCCCACCGTGAGGTGTTTGGCCTCTGTGACATGCCTCTGCCTCTCACTCTTGAATCTCTGGTGGCTGCAGGAGAGTAGCTTCCACCTGGAGAGTCACAATCTCCGACCAACAGCACCCAAGGATCTGAGTTCTGCTGGGGACGCACCACACGTCTGGGCCTCAGAGGGACCTGATAGAGTTGTGCAGGGCACTGGGTTTGGTTTGGTTTTGAGACAGGATCAGTGTGGCCTCCAACTCCCGATCCTCCTGCCTCAGTTGCCTGAGAGCAGGCCTGGCAGGTGTGTACCCTCAAGTTGTATCTATCCAACATCAGATAGAAGAGGGGAACCCAGATGGCGCCCCAGATCGATACCCATGGATGGCCTCTCTTGGCTGTTGGAAACAGAATCCTACAGGCTTTTCCTACCCGGTGGCTTCTGGTGACAACCGACGCCTATGGCATGAGGACAACTGTGGCAGGGCCGGATGGACGAACATAAACCTCCCAGCCCTCAAGGGTGTGAAGTCCTTCCCCCAACCCTGGGAAACTAATGGAGGCTGAGCCACGGCAGCCCACCACCCCCACCGCCACGGCAGCCCACCACCCCCGCTGCCACAGCAACCCACACCCCCCGCCATGGCAGCCCACCACCCTCGCCGCCACGGCAGCCCACCACCCCCGCCGCCACGGCAGCCCACCACCCCTGCCGCCACGGCAGCCCACCATCCCCGCCGCCACGGCAGCCTACACCCGCCGCCACGGCAGCCCACCACCCCCGCCGTCACGGCAGCCCACGCCCGCCACGGCAGCCCACACCCCCCGCCACGGCAGCCCACCCCCCTACCCCCCACCCCCCACCTCCCCACCCCCCACCCCCTGCCACGGCAGCCCACACCCACACCCCGCCTCCACGGCAGCCACCACCCCTTTGAGATCAACAGCGCCCACCGACCCAGGGAAGCAGGACCCAGAACCACAGCCACAGAGGACCCCAAAACAGGAGAAAGACCCTGCGTTGCTTAATACCCCCAGTCCACACAGGGCCACCACTTCAGGTAGCCAGGGGACAGTCTGAGGCGAAAGGAAAAGGCCCAGCGGCTCCTGGTGAAGGGCCGCTGAATTTCTCTACAGAGATGCCCCGGGATCCATTGAAGACTTGCCCAAAAGAGTGCCCACCTTCCACCAGCGAGTTGTGTAGATATAAACATGGAGACGGTGGGGACAGTCGCTGTGATGACTGGCAAGCTGGGGGGGGGATTTTTATGTGAAATAAATTATAATACAGAGGGAGAATTGGTCCCTCTGTGCTCCCAGGTGTGGGTGGTGAGGGGTGTGGGCACAACCTCCCGTCATTGTGACCAGTGGCCAAGCAGAGACGGGGGAGACCATTGCTCTCCCTTTGCTCCAGAAGAATGGGGGCTGGCGAACTTCCAAGGACCTCGGCTCCATAGCCTGGCATACAGAATGGCAGGAGACCAAAGACACTTGGGCACGGCCATGTTGAGTGTCACCAACACATGATGGGGTCATGGTGACCTATGCCTGACGTCCCTGCCTTCAGGAGGCTGCTGAGGCAGGAGGATTACAGAGAATTCCAGACCAGCCTGGGGTATGGATGGAGACTTGACCAGTGTGCAGTCACCTGGATGTGTCGGGTCCTTCCAGGCCCTAGAGAGGGCGGGATGAAGGCTGGGTGGGCCTTCCATTGCATGCAGACTCACATGGCACCCATTGGCCCCCTAACCTGTTCGTTCAGTCAGTCCCGGGCCGTCATTCCCGCCCCGCGGCTCCGGGTCCAGCCACCGTATCTTTCTGTCTCAGTCACAAGGCAGGCACAGTGGTAGTACCTGGAACTCAGTGCTGGGGAGGCAGAAAAGGGAGGGTCCCTGGGGGTCATTGACTAAATAGCCCAGCTCAGTGAGACCCCCCCCCACCTCAGAAAGAACTGGTTAGTGCACCTGCTGCTCCCAAGGCCACCTGTGTCTCCAGCTCCAGGGGACCTGACACCCCTTCTGGCCTCCTGAGTACCAAGCATGCCTGTGGTACACAGACAGACAACATACATACACACAAAAATAAAATAAATAGGCCAAGTAGTGGTGGTGCACACCTTTCATGCCAGCACTCGGGAAACAGAGGCCCCAGCCATAGGAAGACCCCAGAAGATGCCTGGCATAGACCCCCTGCCTCCGTACATGGCTGCACACAAAGAATGGGGTGTGCACAAAACCCCACCTTGGCTCCCCCGAGCCTGATCTCAGTGACTCTGGTCACATGTGTTCACAATGACAGGGTCACATGAAAAGGCCACCAGAGCAAGGCAGTCATGTGAGTCTAGACCCATGTTAGCCACAACACTTTTGGATTTCCTGGCAGGGCCTCGCTGGGGCTGGCGGTGGGCAGGGGTTGGGGGAGGGAGGGAGACAGAGGCAGAAGGAGCAGGCTCTTTTTTTGGCCCCATAAGAGCCAGTCTCAATGTCGGGGTCAAGCCAGGGAACACAAACTTAGGCCGATATTTTTAGGGATAGAAAGGTGTGACCGGGTCGGATGGGGAGGAGGGGGGAGAGAAGGGAGGGAGGAGGGGAGGCAGACACAGGGGCATAGGATGGAAGTTGGCTGCTGTTCCTCTGCTCTCTGGCTCCTGACTAATTTAGGCAAAAGGCTACCCTACCGAAGCTATTTGCAGCCTGCGAAACAGGTGCTCCCCCCACACCCCCAGCTTGGGGTACTTCCTCCCCTGGGGCTGCCTCCAGGCTGCCCAAACCTATAAAGGCTTAGGGCTTTGTCAATGAGGCCGGGACTCCCCCAAGCAGCATTCTGCAGGTCAGGACCAGGTCTCGACCAGTCCCCAGCATGAAGGTCATCGTGGGCATTGGAGGGTGAGCCCTGGGGGCCTGGCGTGTGACCTGTACTGGGAGGGGGAAAGCCCTGAGGCCCTGGGAAGGCGGCCACCGCTGCCCACGGTCTGAGTGCTTGGGGAGGGTTGGCTTGAGGGGTGTGGGGGGCTTTGTGATCACAGAGGGCACAGGGGCTGTACCTCCGTAGATTGTTTTAAAAAGTCCCGGGAAGAGATGGGGAGACCTGCTGGAAATCTGGGGACCAGCCCTGTGAGGATGGGGGCAGATGCCTGGACAAGGCAAGATGAACACCCCGGGTTTGTTTTATTTTATTCTGAGGCAAGACGGTAGATCTAGGGCCTCAGGCTTACAAAGCAAGCCCTCAGCACTGGCTACCGCCCAGCCCTCTTTTTACTTTTAATATTGAGATGGAGTTCCACATAGTCACACTTTGTGGCTCAGACTAGCCCAGAACTGAAGATCCTCCTGTCTTAGCCCTTAGCTGGGTGTGCCTCCATGCCTGGTTAAGATAGACCTTCTTGTGAGGGACCCCACGACCCCACCACATGGGGGCCATCAGAACCATGACTGCAAACAACCATGTCTCCAGAATGGTTGAGGATGACCTGAGTCCCCACCTCAGTCACCCTAAGAGGCAGGATGCCATGACCTACTCCCCTGCTGTCCCTAAGGCGGGGCTCTGCCCTGACCACGCCCCCAGGCCCTCACTGGGGATTCTGGGTGGGGCTCCACCCTGACCACGCCCCCAACCCTTCACTGGGGGGATTCTGGGCGGGGCTCCACCCTGACCACGCCCCCAGCCCCCTCACTGGGAGGTTTTGGACGGGGCTTCACGCTGACCACAGGAGCTTGATTCCCCCCTCATGTTCTCACACACACAGACACACGCACACTGACAACACAGACGCGCACACACTCGCACAACGCAGACACACGTGCACGCACACATGCTCACATACATGCACACCATCCTACTAGGCAGGAGCAGCACAGTGGGAGAGCCTGCTCAGGTCACGGGGCCCTGGCGTCACCCCTCGACCTCACGCATGCACCCTTGCAGCATGACCAACGGCGGGAAGAGCACCTTGACCAACCGCCTCCACAAAGCGCTACCCAACTGCTGCGTGATCCACCAGGATGACTTCTTCAAGGTGGCTGCCCTGCGCAGGGGTGGTGGGCTGGAGAGGACACAAGGCAGGGCGTTCCCATTGACCTGCACATCCCCAAAAGGATCAATCCCCTGTGCTGGGGAACCCTACTAGGCTAACGGGGGTGACTTCACTGTGGCATGCTGGGTTTTCTTGTTTGTTTTTAGCTCGTGACCCTTTATGCCTTTGCTTTCCCTTCTGTGCAATGGGCTCAGAAGGAAGGAGTGACAGGCGATAGGCAGGGAGAGTCTCCAACTCAACCTCCACCCGCTCAGGACCCCAAGCTCCTCCAGGCTCATGGCATGGCAGTCCCAGAAGCCCCCAGAGGGGTGACTAAGGCTGGGTAGGTGCAGGTCTAAGCCCGGACTTGGGGTCCTGTCTTTCAGCCCCAGGACCAAATAGCGGTTGGGGAGGACGGCTTCAAACAGTGGGACGGTAAGTGCCATATTCGCCTCCCCCCGCCCCGTCTGTGGCCCCCACCCCGTCTGTCCCCACTGCGCCCTGTGGTGCTGCCCTGTGCCTTGTCTGTCATCCCCTGCCTCTTCTGTCCCCCGCCCCGTCCCGTCTGTGTCCCTCTGCTCCATCTGTCGCCCCTGCCCCGCCTGTCCCCCCTCTGCTCCATCTGTCCCCCACTGTCCCGTCTGTCGTCCCCCCTGCCCCGTCTGTTTCCCCCGCCCATCTGTCTCCCCCGCCCCGTCTGTCCCCCCTCTGCCCCGTCTGTCCCCCCCCCCCGCCCCCTCTGTCCCTGTTCCGCATCCCGGTCTGAACCCCGTCATCTTCCCACTAGTGCTCGAGTCCCTGGACATGGAGGCCATGCTCAGCACAGTGCGCGCCTGGGTGAAGGACCCACTCAAGTTCGCGCGCGCTCACGGCGTCAGCCTCCAGCCCAGCGCCTCGGACACCCACATTCTCCTCCTGGACGGCTTCCTACTGTACAGCTACAAGTAAGCCTGCTGTCGCCAGAGAACCCAGAGAACCTTCGAGGGCTCGGGTCCCCAGGCTGAGCCGCCCTGCTGTGTGACCTTGGGCCCTGAGCACCTCTCTGTCAGTTTGGACCGTGGAAGTAGGGCGGGTCTGAACACTGGGAGACGTGCGGGTGCTGCAGGGGTGTCAGTTGACCTGTGACCTCCCCGACCAGGCCCCTGGTGGACATGTACAGCCATCGCTACTTCCTGACTGTCCCGTATGAGGAATGCAAGCGGAGGAGGAGGTGGGTTGCAGGGACAGGGGATGTCCTTGGGGCACCGTCCCGGGAGCCCACCCCACCCTTTCCCACGCATCTCAGGCTCAGCTCAGTGGTGGGAAGGTGTGGAAGTCGGGGTCCCCCAGCCACAGCCTTGGTCTAGGGGTGTGATTCCTCCACCCAAGGTCTGTGGAGCAGCGCCCTGCCCTGACAGTCCCGCTGCCTCTTTCTCTCGCTCCAGTAACCGTAGTTACATGGTCCCTGATCCCCCTGGCCTCTTTGATGGTCACGTGTGGCCCATGTACCAGAAGTATAAACGGGAGATGGAGCAGGACGGAGTGGAAGTGGGTAAGCCTGGGAGTCGCCCGAGTCTCACCCCCAGTCTCCCTGGGATCCGAAGAGTGCACAGCCCAGCCCCACCTGCGGCCCAGCCCTGACACAGGTCTTTTCCGGTTCCAGTCTACTTAGATGGCACGAAGTCCCGTGAGGAACTCTTCAGGCAGGTTCTGGAGGACGTTCAAAACAGGCTGCTGAACCGGTCCTAGCAACTGTGGACATCATCTGGTGTGAGGCGCAGACTGGGCTGGGCGCTGT